CCAATTTACGTTCCATCCACGTCAAGATTCTCACTTGGGATAATAATAATTGTCAACTTGTCATTACCCATGTACATATACGCTCTTCATTTCCGTTATTAACTCTTTCGGGATTTAAAAACCTACTTAACGATACACTTTTTTAAGCTGGTAAAGGGCCTAACTACAGCTGTGTTGGACGAGAATGGGCGCCATAGAAAATTTAAACTATCAGTAGCTTGATCAGTGGTTACGTGACCTTGACCATCAATAATTTACTTATAGAGGCACCAGCCATCCTTGTCCAGGGGATGTTTTAGCCAGTGGGTATGTGAGTGGCTTCTGTTGGAGATGTTATTCTGTTGGAGGACCTCTTTGACGACATCCAGCCAGGATTTACGTGGTCTACCCCTGCCTTTGTAGCTTGATTCCCTTACCTTGTATCCTCGTGCCGCGAATTGGTATAGGGGAAATGGGGGGGGGGGGGCATTCTCATCTGACAAAAAAAGGTTACTTCTCGCAATCCAAGAATGGAGAATGTCGGCCGAAAATTGACACTGTGGTCAGATTCAATTGGTGTCATTTTTTTGAAGTCCACAGTGCCTTTCAGTATTCCAAATTAGACATACTTTTTTGGTGATTGTTTTACGGCGCTCGTAACTGCATAAAGTCATATGAGAGAGCTGGACACACCAAACATTTTTCAGTTTGTAGGAAACTTTGAATTTTGCCCTGGTGGCGGCCGAAGCCATCTTTTATCGACTTGGGACCACCATGGGATCTTTAACGTTCGCAACTTGCACACGGGACCTCAGAGATATTTCGCACTTGTCCGAGAAGGCTAGGTGTAGATCTTACCTACTATATGATTAGGGGTGTTGATGAAAGACAGCATTGAGAAGGAGCCAAGTAGAAGCAGTAGAAAAGTCAGGAGCCCAGAGGAGGGGGCAAAGAAAGTTAGGGGGTGGGGACAGAAAGTGGAGACAAAAGCAGACCGCAGAACATTAAATTAGAGAGCAGGAAGGGATGTGAAATGAGAACATTTTTAGAAAAGAAAATGTTCCGTCGCTACCCGCATTCGAACCTGGTACCTCTTCAATGAGAGGCGAACAACTTTACCACTAAGCCACGAGAGCCCCCCATTCAAACTTCACCTATGACGATGATGTATAAATTTCAGTAAGGTTAATTAAAATCCGAGAACTAACTCATTTATTTTGTCAGCACACCTCACAAGTGACCATTCAGTATGCTCTACCATGGATTCCATCTGTTCAATCACGGACAGTTTCGCTCCTAATGCAGTACCTTTCCTTTTGACAGTGACTAATTTTCTGAAAAATGTCACTACCCAGGCAATGATCGTTCTATTTTTGTGCTGCCACGTCCGGCATTGGTAGGTCACTGTTGGAAGAAATAATATGTAGTAAAAGGTTGTCTTTTTTTACTCCCATTCAAACTCCCATCATACAATGGACATGGGAACAACATACAACATTAAAATTTACAAACATACGCAATGAAGAACGAGCTTCATTCTGTCTGTCTGTCTATTGATAAACTGTGTCATTCCTGAAAAGGTGCTGCCTGTCAATTTGCAATGTCTTGGGACATTATTGTTAGACTGTATGTGTATTTGAAACCCCATCGACACAGTTTAGATCAATTCGGAAGCTTATTTTAACTTTGTCTTCTCGTGTCTTCCCAAGCTGAGAGTGGAAAATGACGCCCCATCAGAAAGACCTGATTATTTTGTGATAGACAAAATGATGCACTAAAACAGTCCATTTAAACGAGAAAAAAAGCGAAACAGAAAGAGAGAGAGAGAGAGAGAGAGAGAGAGAGAGAGAGAGAGAGAGAGAGAGAGAGAGAGAGAGACAGACAGACAGACAGACAGACAGACAGACAGACAGACAGACAGACAGACAGACAGACAGAGACAGAGTCGGAACACGGAGACCTTTATCATTCCCAGCCACATCCAGTTCAAAATCTTCTACATTGACATAGGAGAAGATCATCTTACTAACCATCACAGCTCATTCATTCTACGTCACTGCGGACTCGAACCCTGAACTCCAACCGCTATGGTGGGGTTAAAGAGTACTGTACTTTTGTCCACGAGTGACGCTGTAGCCATTCACAGGCTGAGGGACTGTGGGAGAGGAGGTTCCCGCCACTCCGTCGTGGCGCCAGGGACAGTGTGCAGGTCATGAGTGACAGGTGTAAACAACAAACCTGGTCAGCCAGACTCGCGGTGCCACCACTCCAAACTTGTAGACCTACATCCTCAGAGATTGGGGGGGGGGGGGAGATATTTTTTTTTTGGTTTTGTTTTTTGGAGTTTTTGTGTGTGTATTGTTGTGTTTTGTTTTTATTTATTTGAATATGTAACGCCCTCATTGACACAGTTTAAATTAATTAGGAGCTCACCTGCTTCACCCCTGCCTCTCACTCTTGTTTAGTTGGTCTGGGTTTGTTTGTTTTTTTGTTTTTTTCTGGGGGGTTGTCTTTTCTTTTCTAATTTGAATATGTATCATCCTCATTGACACAGTTTATATTATTTAGAAGGTCGACTGCTTTAACCACGCCTCCTACTTGTTTGGATTTTTATTTTATTTTTTTTGGAGGGGGGGGGGGGTCATCAGTTCTGTCTGCTTCTGGCTTTTTGTTAACCCAATCTGGCGTCCGTATTTGTGGAGTCGGTTTGGATTTTCCTGCATGTGTTGGTTGGTATGGGAGAGTAGTGCAAGGTCGTCGGCAAAGTCACGATCCTCGAGGGTGGAGAAGAGGGTCCACCTTATGCCTCTTGATGTATCCTCTGTTGTTTTCCTCATGACCTAGTAAATGGCCAGGTTGAACAGAATTGCTGACATGTTGTATCCTTGTCTAACTCCTGTCTTTACCTCAAAAGCAGTGGTGCCGTTTCCAACAACGCACTTGAAGTTTCGGTAGAAGCTCTTGGTCACCTCTACAATCTTGCAAGGGATTCCATAAGATTGTAGAATGTACCAAAGACTTTCTCTATGCACACTGTCGAATGCTTTTTCAAAATCAACGAAGTTTACATAAAGTTGTCTCTGCCATTCCGTGCACTGTTCTATTATGTTGCGGAGGGCAAATATCTGGTCTGTGCATCTTCTTTCTTTGCGGAATCCTGCCTGTTCTTTTCTTAAGCAGCTGTCCACGGCATCCGACATCCGATTAATAATAATCTTGGCCAGGATCTTGGTGGGAACTGACAGCAACGTGATACCTCACCAGTTGTTGCAGTCTCTAAGAGCTCCTTTCTTTGGTACTTTAACAATGACTCCAGTGCTCCAGTCCTCGGGAATCTGCTCTCCCTACCATATGGTTTTGAATAATGGCTGAAGAATGGCGGCAGTCAGTTCTGAGTCTACTTTAAACAATTCAGTATTCAGGTTGTCCATTCCTGGAGATTTTCTTGATTTCAGGCTCTTAACAGCTTTTACAATCTCGTGCTTCTGTGGTGGGTCAGAGCTGATATCCAGATCCAATGTAGCTTCCTGTATATCTGGGGTGTCTTCAGGTGGATGTTGGTTTAGGACTTCCCTGAAGTGTTCTGTCCAGCGTGCTTCCTGTTCCTTCTCGATTGTCAGCAGCTTGCCAGCCTTGTCTTTGATTGGTCCACTCGTTCCACCGTGATACTTACCACATATTATTCTTGTGATCTTGTATACGTTGCCTTGTTCACCTTTAGCAGCTGTCTCCTCTGCTTCAGTTGCCAATTTTTCCATGGCTTCTCTTTTGTGTGTCTTCTTTACCAGTCTTTTAACTTTCTGGCAAGCTTCCTTGCAATCCTCTGCGTACTTCTCTTGTAGTCGTATCGACTTAGCTGCAAGCTGTCTTTTCTTGATTTTTCTCCGTTCTTCAATAGTATTCCAAGTTCCTTGCTGTATCCATTCTTTGCTTGCATTCTTTTCCTTGACACCAAAACATGTCTTACTGCTCTCTGTGTAGGCCTCAACAATATGCTTCCCTTGGGTATTGACTTCATCTGTATTGGGAGTGGTTTCTTCCAGGTCTTGGAGAGCTTGAAATCGGTTCTTTAGTTCTAGTCGGAAGGCAGATCTCACATTGCCATCACTGAGCTTGTGAATATTAAATTTTAAATCGTGTCCTTGTCACCTCCCTGGTGAATGTTTTCTTCAGCTTGAGTTTTATCCTTGCTGTCACTAGATGATGATCGCTGCCAACATCTGCTCCTCTTCTGACTTTCACACCCTGTACGGAGCGTCTCCACATTCCTCCTATCATAGGGTGGTCAATCTGGTGCTTGTTCCGGCCATTTGGAGAATTCCAGGTCAGTTTGTGGATTGTACTCTTTGGGAAGAGGGTTCCGCCTATCACCAAGTTGTTCAATGCGCAGAAGTCCACAAGTCTTTCGCCGTTCTCATGTATTGTACCCGTACCAAGTTGTCCCATCGTTGTCCAATAGTTGGTGTTGTCCTCTCCTACTTTAGCATTCAGATCACCCATTACAACGATAAGGTCGTGACGAGGTATACCTGTCAATTCTCTCTCTAGCTGTTCATAAAAATAGTCCTTGCTTTCATCTTCACTGTCGTTAGTAAGGGGGTAACATTGGATGATGCTTGTGTTGGTGTGCCTTCCCTTCAGTCTCAGCGTCACCATTCTGCTGTTTATCGGTTTCCACTGCCGTTACCTGTGCCAACTTACCAGTTTCATACATTGTCCTTACATTCCACAGTCCTATGATAACTTTTGTCTTTGCGGTGTTCAGGTCCTCCATCTTCCTGCAAACAGCTTCCTTGCGGCTTTCACTGCCAGCATTCATACGAGTCCATCACACACAGAAATATGGTTTCTCTTTGTTGCTGTTTCTGTAACATATGCTGTTTACCAGTCTGAGTTGTTAGCCCTGAGCTGAACCTGGAGGGCTGGTGGACCACGCTTCGTCTGACCTCTACCCGCCGAGCTGTCTGGCATGGGTGGCCCTACAAAGAGCATTAGCTCCCGCCAGCGTAGCTCTTAGGGTCACTGGGGCACACAAGCTCTCTAACAACAACAAGGTAGTGATCCACTAGAGAGTAAAAGTATAACAGGGTCACCAACAGCGATATCTTAACTGAAGTCAAATACAGGGCTCAGCACAATACTCAAAATGAATAAGTTGTTCTCACTGCCCTGTTATGGTTTGGGATTTTTGACAATTTAATTGCTGGACTATCAACCTCCAAAGTGACCAGTTTATTATGATAAGATGTCAAAATCGATCGCCCGGAAAAAGGGACAGCAAAATATGAATCAATATTGCAGTCGCAAGTGGCATCAGTAACCTAGTGGTAAAGCTACGGGACTCGTAATCGTATGATTGTGGGTTCGGGGGTTCGAGCCTCAGCACAGTCCGACGTTTTGTATTGGTAAAAAGCACTTTACACGGATTTCCCATTAGGCTCCGTCTTTTCGGAGATGGACGTTACACTCAGAGGTCCTGCCAAAACCTACACATGTTGAAAGAGGCGTTAATCCTATACCATTTCACCATTTTCATTGCAGCCGCTGCGAGGACATAGAGCGTAAACTGGGATACGGTTATCGACATTGGCTCTGTCGGCCAGTAGAAAAAAACACTGAAACACTTGGGCAAATCCTCTTATATTTAGTGCACGTGTTTTCAAACCTACATCGACACAATGTAGATCATTTATGAAGCGGACTTCAACCATGCCAACCAGGGCTGAGAGTGATATAACGTCCCAGCTGAAAAAAGAGATACTTGATAAAGATTTTCCATGCACGGGGATCGAAATTGAGTCTCCTGTGTGCGTCGTCAAATCATCTAACCGCTACACCACAGATTCCGGTCTTCAGTAACCTCCTTGTGGTCATCAAAACTCTCTAAACATCCTAACTTCAGGACATCCTCTTTGGAGTTTCGAACCACGGTGGTCGGCACAATAGACCAACGGGATACCAACTGAGCTAACAGCAACGCCCCCCCCCCCTAACCAAAGAAAAAACTGTAGGGAACACAAAAAAGAACCTGACCAACCCAAGTTCAAAACGTGCGAGTGAAGGACGAAAAATTAGACGTTAGAACCCCAGTTCATTAGGTATAATATCAACAGAGTTCACAAGACAAAAATTCACAACAAGGTAAATCAGTACACCCGAGGGTAACAGTAGCACAGATCGAAACGCAAGATCATCATTATTTTATAATATGCCGTCCGATCCAAACTATGTGAAATCAAGGGCTTGACTCGCCAGCTGGACATTGATAGAGGTGAGTCGGTATACACGTGACTGGAGGAATGTTCCCAGGGCCTAGTGAGGGAACAGGGTTCGTTTTTTGGGGTAAATACACTCTCAAAACCCCGGGAACTGCCCTCGTGATCTGCTCGGTGCTAGGTTATTGTGTCACATTGGGCTCGCCTGTTTTGTCTACTGGAATGTCCACTGGTTCTATCTATTGCAGTTGGTTGAATAGTTGGAATGTTTTTCTTTTTTCTTTTTTTTTAACTTCTAGGTACTGTTATTCATATCATCATCATCATCATCATCATCATCATCATCATCAGACCTCTTTCTCTCTCTGTCTCTCTGTCTGTCTCTCTCTCTCTCTCTCTCTCTCTCTCTCCTTTGCCGCTGTAAACGAGATGCCGCGAGAAAATGTGATGAGTGTGTGGAGCCAGACAAGGGACGGATGTAGTGAACATGTGAACCTATGGTTGATCTGGTCAGATTGGTTCTGCTGTTTGAAGAAACATGACATGAAAAGTACCAACATTGTACAGATAGATCTAGATAGCTATTTTGTTTGTTTTTTAATTTATTTAATTTATTTATTTATTTATTTTTTTTAAATATTGGGGGGTGGTAAATGTTTTTATGGCGCTCGCAACTGCATACGGTCATAATATGCGCGCGCGGGACAAACAAAATATTTACAGTTGGTAGGAAATTTTGAATTTTGCACGGGTGGCGGCCGAAGCCTATTCTTATCGATTTTAGACCACCAAGGGATCTTTAACCTCCGAGATTTTTTGCCTTTCTCCGAGAAGGTTAGATGTAGATCTTTCTTACCAGAAGATCAGGTGTATGGCTGAAAGACAGCAGTAAGAAGGTGTCAAGGAGTAGCAGTAGAAAGGCTGAAGAAAGCCATGAGCCCAGAGGAGGGGACAAAGGAGATGAGGGGGTGGGGGCAGAAAGTGGAGACGAAAGCAGACGACAGAACATTGATTGAGACGAAAGGATGTGAAAGGAGACAATATTTTAGAGAAGAATTTTTTTCTCCGTTGCTATCCGGATTCGAACCCGGGACCTTTAAATGAGAGGCGAACTCCTTAACGAGAGCCCCCATAGATAGATAGATAGATAGATAGATAGATAGATAGATAGATAGATAGATAGATAGATAGATAGATAGATAGATAGAAATAGAGAGATAATGTGACGTGTAATACAGAGATAGACAGATGAATATGCACTTCACGATGGATGAAAGAGATAGATAGTCAGTACAAAAACAAACAAAAAACTAAACAAAACTAAACAAAGCGAAACAATAAAAAGAAGTTCCGATTTACCAGTGCTCATGAGCGATATCATGATTCCACTTAGTTCTAGAAGCGAGCGTGGTTGTTATACAAGTATATCATACATTTAGAATAGTCAAGCCGTATTATTTCACTTTCCCTAGCTGCTCTGGTATAGACGACAATAGCAAAGTGGCATACACCGCTCATATGATCTTATGCTGTTGCGAGCACCGTAAAACCCTGTACTACTACTAAAGTGGCATACAGTTTTATGGCTGCTAATGGAGGGTCATTACACTCTGGTATGTCCATCTAAGTATTTCATTGTGGTATATTTCATTCCATGTGGGTTGCATTGTTAGATCAGTTGGTACCATGCTGGACTTCGGAGCGGGTGGCTCTGGTTTGAATCCTGAACTGGGTGTTCTGAATTTGGTTTGTTTTAGGGAGTTTTAAAGATTTTCCACCCATTTGTGAGGCAGCATGATGGAATCAGGCTCTCGTCAGTTTTTGGGCCTGTAGTTATTGATATCACCTTAAAGCTTGTTCACTTGTCTTTATTTGGATGAAAAAAAATGTACATTTATCTTGAATACAAGTCGAGATGTTTGCGAAAGAAGGAAGTGGGGGTCACCTGTTTTCAGAAGTAAAATTAGTGAGAAAATGGCAGCCGAAGATTAGTTATTTCCTTACTTTAAGAGTCCATGGTAACTGAAAATTTACATTTTTTGTGCCTTTAATTAACGTTTATCAGAAAAACCCACTCATAAGTGAGTTCTTTAATGGGCATGAAAGATGTAGGGCCAAAAAACAAAAATTTGATAACAATTCACAAACCTACGGAAAAATGCGCGTTTCTTCACTTTGATTATTTTGACGAGAGCCTGATTCCACCACGCTGCCTCACATTTCCTCTCGGGAGATGGATGTTATATTCTGCCTCTTAGATACTTTTCAAGTATTGAAAGAGGTGTTATATATAACTACACAATAATGCAAAGGATATTCATTTCATTGTCATCCATAATAAGTAGATGAATATTTAAGTGTTCCGTGACTAACTAGAGGTCGTACTGAGATGTTGTCTTTTGTTTCTTGTATTCTTTCGATATGACTTCTTTCGCCTTCTCTTTCTCGGTCTATATGTCTGTCTGTCTGTCTGTATGTCTGTCTGTCTGTCTGTCTGTCTGTCTGTCTGTCTGTCTGTCTCTCTCTCTCTCTCTCTCTCTCTCTCTCTCTCTCTCTCTCACGCACACACAC